ATGATTATGTTTTTAATTTTAGCAATTGTTCCAGGAATCCCATTGCAGTCTCACAGATAATCACCTGAGAGGCTCAAAGGGATGTTTCCACCGCTGTGTATATCTTAGTGAAAATTTTGAGCTGAGAAGAGTTTCCTCTGGTATTTTCTCAGTGGTCATGTTATGTCTGAGAGGGCTGGTTCTAGCTCAGAGTTTGAGAGCCCCATCTCGTGAGGCAGGAGGGTAGGACAGAGAGAGAGAGTGAGGTTCATGGTCATATTGCATCTTTAGTCCAGAAGCAATGAGAGATGAATTCTGGCATTCAGCTAGCTTCCTACTTTCTTTCTCTTTTCTTTTCATTTTATTCTTTCTGGAACTGACTTATGGAGTGGTGCTGTCCACACTTAGAGTCTTGTTTTCTCAGTTAACCTCTCTGGAAACACTCTCACAGATAGGCCTAGGGGTGTGTCTCCAAGTGATTTTCATTCCAGTCAACTTTACAGCAAAGATTAATCACCAGTTTTTTATTGTTATTACATTTATTTGTTTATTTGTTGTGTTGTCTGTGCACCTGCACAAGTGTGTGTGCACTGTGGCACACACGTGGAGGTCAGAGAACAATCTTAGAAGTTGGGTCTCTCGTTCTACCATGTGAGTCCAGGGATCAAACTCAGGTTGTGGACCTGATGGCGACACCTTCACCAGCTGAGCCATCACGCTGGTTCCCATCACAACCTTTTATGAGTATTAAACTTCACCATTTGGGGAGAAGCACACCATTCAGCTGCTGGTGCCCTTCCTTCTTTCTCTTCCCTTTTCGTTTTTTCCATCCCCTATCTTGGTCTCCTCTCTTCTTAGTTTCTAATGGCGATGGAACAAATACCTTTTCTTGCTCCACATAAATTCTTCTGTTACTAAGGCAGCAGATTGTTCAAAGTCTAAGACCTGACACATAGCAATTAAACTTTAAGAGAGTTCACCATCACATAATATCATGCTGTCTTTGTCTTTGGGGTGTCCATTACAGAGGCTGTACTGCAGAGTGATCTAACATTGCTTCTAGAAGCCTTGATAGAAGTAAATCTAGGTTGCCTGCTTTGTGGAGGAAGCTGGTACTTAATCCTCTGGAGAGAAAGCAATGTCCCCTGCAACACTATGAAACATCCAGTTCTGTTTGCTTCTTTAATGAGTCATTTTCCCTCTGGAAACTCTCTCTGAACTTTCATACTTACAGGAATACATAAAAGACTATATTCTAAAACATTTGATGTAAAAATAAAATATTCTGAATTGTAACATATATAATTTTTACTTGTGATACGGCCTTCTTAGAAACCATTTCCAAGTAGTAACTAAAGGTAATACTTTAGGGAATTTTAAAAAGAGGTATTTCATGCATTGAGGTTGCAGGAACCTTACGGCTAGTTCTATTTTTGTGTCTACGTTGACAATAGCTGAGATTGTCACAGTCATTCACCTTCATCATTAAGAAAACCATATAAAGTTCTGTTCTCCTCAAAGTTAGAATGTGAAGTGCTGGCCTTGCAGACTTAACTTGGAAACTCCTTGGATGGTATTCAGAGACTAGATAACCAGAATAGGTCAGATCTTAACACTGATGCTTTCATAACCCTGTTTATGGATGCTTCGTGAAGATCACATAACTTGCAAATAGACAAATTTTAATACGGGACAGAAATGTAGAGGCTGGAAAGATGTCTTAGTGATTAAGATCACATATTGCTTGCAGAGGACCCAAGTCCAGGCCCAGCTTCCATATCAGGTGCCTCACAATCACCTGCAATTCTAGCTCCAGGAAGATCTGATACTCTGAGAACTCTTGAACTCGTGTGAACATACCGCATTCAGATACACACACACACACACACACACACAATTAAAACTACATGACAACAGGTCATGTCAAGTAGAGCAGCCAGCGGGCCCTAACAGGATTAGCAATGTCAAACATCTATAGTGGTCTCTGATACATGACTCTTAGCGATCTAAGTAAATATCACATGCACCCAAATGTTAATATCTACAAAGAACAAGAATTCCGTCTTTGGAAATAACTTTGTAGCACCCATGGTGCTCTGCTCTGAGACATCATTTAGCATCTAGGAGGAGTACCAAGTTAAACCATGTGTCTGAGTCACTAAGGAACCATGGAGAAATCACTAGGTGAGAGACATTAGTCAAACGTAGTCAGAGATGCCATAAACTACAGAAGAGTCTGTCAGGCAAATGAAGAGCTGATGATTCTGTCTTGGAACATCAATGAAAAGAGCTTCCAGAAGTCATCAAGAGCTGGAAAGCTCCCCAGATGGAACCTAGGTCCTTTATGGTCAATAGCCAGTGATAGAAGCCATTGTCACAATGAGCCACCACAAGGAGTCCACAGATGAGGCAAGAAGAACTTTCCAGCACGCCTTTCCGATGAAAGAGAAGCTAATCCCTTTACCTGTGGGATTCAAGTAAAGATGGCAAATGTTGGTTAATATGCTCACTGAGAGGAGTAACTTTCAGCCAGCCAATCTAGGAATGTTCTCAAAGTGGGATTTGTTGGATATAAGATATTCAAATGTAGCTCAGCCTTAAGACCTTCAAAAACTATAGTATTAGTTATTGATCATCTATGGAATTCTCTGCTGTCCCGTGTGTTCTATATGCATCCGCCCACTTAAGACATCTCTCTCTTTGTGCCATTTCATATACATTTCACTAGTGAAGAAACATTATGTATCTAAAAATGTACTTGCCAGTTTTTAAACGTTACACACAGAAGGCTAACACCAGGGCAGTGTTGGCTATAGCTACAGTATGCCAGACAGAAAATATGATTCCCCAAATGTGACCACACTCTAATTTCCAGAACCCATTAACATAGCATGTTATATAGCAAAGGGGACTTTGGATACATAATGGCTAGGAACCTTGAGCTAGGACCTACCCTAGCTTATCCAGATGAGTCCTTGGAGGTGGGAAACCTCCCCTGGCTGTGGTAGGAGGAAGGGATGGTCTGTGCTGTCTTTGAAGAAAAGAGCAAGGAGGAGGCTATCTATCACCCAAGAGTCTGCACATCCCTAGAAGCTGTTCTAGAAAGGAAGAGAAAGTGAGTTCTCAACAAGAGGACCCTTCGAAGTATACAGTTCTACCTGTGCCTTCGCTCTGGCACCATGACAGCCAGGTCAGAACTCCAACACTGTGAGGTGGTCAGCTTGGCAGTGTTTTCAGTCACTGAACCTGTGGGGATTTGTTACAGCTGCAGTCAAAAGTCAAATACACATTGCTCAATACAGAAGAGATGTGGGGTGATGGGGAAGGGTCCCTTCCTGGGGGGAGGTGCGTGTGGCTGTAGCTTCAGATGCCGGGATATTGGTGTACTTTCTGATGCATTGTTTGATAGTTTGCAGCATATCTTCATGTCTCCTCACATGTCAGAATCTGAACATGCCCCAATCCCCCCACCCCAACCGAATGGCTTGCTGTATTCCATATGATATGATTTTTTTACCAGAAGGAATATTATTCGTGTAATTTTTAATACAAAAGTCTGATGACTCCCCGCTGTCAAAATACTCTCTCAAGTCTCAGAACAAAGGGAGTTATTGAAAGATGACATGTTGTCACTGTTTTCATCTGCAGTCGACTGTCGTGGAGGCTCAGATCGGCTTGGATTTATTTAGAGTCTTTTCCAAGCACCGGAGAGCTGAGACACTGGGATCCTGAGGCAGTCCTAGGGCAACAGCACACAAATGCAAATAATACAAATACAAAACTGGTGTCACAAGGCACCCTCATGGATCACTGCTTTCCCTACCAGGGTCATGTGCTGGGAACAGGACGCACAGAGAGAAGGGAGCTACAGCAATGGAAGCGTCTTAGTCCATGAAATGGATTGACTGGAAATAAATAGCAAAGCTTTAGGAAACAGCAATAAAGGCCTTAGAAAGCTCAGGCCACCGTAAAAGTCAGCTTGACAGCAAACTCACAGAACGGTGACTGAATCGTGCAGTCACGATGCTACTTCTGATATTAAGCATGTCGCAGATGCCAGCTTCACGTCTCCAGGCAGCCAGGCTGTGCGCTGTGAGAGCTCCAGTGTTGTGGATGTGGATGTATAACTTGGCCCCTGTAGTTTGGATTTATGCAAACCTTATTAAACTGTCGCTGCATGGGAAGCCGAATACAGGCGATCAGGGTCACCTGAGTGGCGGTCGCTGGAGGCAACCAGAGACTAGTGGCTTGTTTGGGACAATACCGTCATTCTGCCTGTCACAGCACAGTAGGAAAGAGGGAGGCTTCCAAACGGTGCTAACTAAAATCAGTAGCAGTCCCCTGGGTAGATGGTACATGCAAGCTGCCAGACGGAGGAAGGGTTGACTGCAGGGTCTGTGTTTGTCCTCACAACGTAGATGCCTGCTGTGATCAGAGAAGCCAGCACTGTGTTTCATCCTCCTGTCTTTTCCGCCAAAATATTCCATTTTACAACTAAATTTGACAAAGCTGTTTTTGCTTTGGTTGAGGGCTTTGTTTGCTTAGTTAGTTGGTTTGATTCATCTTTTATTAGTTTGTTTGTTTGCTTGCTCACTATTGAGACAAGGTCTCACACTGCACCACAGACTGCCCGGAACTCACTATGTAGCCCTACTTGTCTCAAATTCACATCAATCCTCCTGCCTCGGCCTCCTGATTACTGGGATTGCAGCCTGTACCAGTAGTTATAGCAAATTCAGAATTTATACAAAAAGGCATTTCTATAGATGGCTGTGAGGTTGGTATGTAAACTGCAATTGTACTTTATAAAAGACAGGGTAATCTTCATATTAAATGTGTTTTTTCTTAGACTTGACTGTAGAGCAATTGTAGTTAAATACTATAACCCTTGTAAAGCTTACTTGTGTAAACTATGATTTTTTTAAAGCTGTTTTTACTGTTTTCTATATGAATGGAAATGTATTTAAGTGCACCTACTTGTTGGGGATAAACTCCTAACCTATGTCACTTCTGACTTATAGGGTATCTTTGTTACTAGGGTTCAGCCTGATGGACCAGCATCCAACCTACTACAGCCCGGGGATAAGATCCTTCAGGTAAGACGAACGAAAACTGGCATGCCAATATCGGGGTACAGGACTTGAACCAAACTCTGACAATAAATGTCACCTACTTGTCACAGTGGGTTTAAAGCCCCATCTGCCATGAGTAGTGTCCTTCATGACCATGCCAACTTGTAAACGCTCTTCCATTTTAGTTGAATAATAACAATTCCCAAAACTAAAGTAATTTGGTGCCTAGAACCAAAGTAACTTATTCCAGATTCTTGCCCTAGATTGCACCCCCATAACTGATTCTACAAACAGGCCCCTGGGTAACAGAATCCCTCACCTGTATAACAAGGGTCCAGCACTCTACCATGCAGGCCCGAACTCTCCTCGGAGCCCCATCGTGCTGTTGTCTGTGGCCTTAACAGTCCTTCTAGCAAGCCTTTTACCCAAAAGGACAGTCCACCTCAGTGTCCACCTCAGTTCCCAAACCCAAAACATTTTACTGAATGCCCGACAAGATCTCAGTACGTGGCAGTATCCTGTACATTACTGTTGTACTGAGTGGAGTTACACAGTAATACAGGAGTGTTCATACATGTAAACACATGAGCCTGCGTGGTTACAAACTAAAAGTAGGCATGATTGCCTGTGCAGGGCGTCTGTGTGACTTTACATGAGTTGACAAGAGTGAACGTATTTCTCTGTTTGAAGACTGTAACACACGGTTGTCGCTCTCTTTTCTCCTGTCCAGAACACAAGTTCAGCTTTTTGGTTTTGTTTCGTTTGGTTTGGTTTGATTTTGTGTTTTTTGAGACAGGGTTTCTCTGTAGCTTTGGAGCCTGTCCTGGAACTAACTCTTGTAGACTAGGCTGGCCCCGAACACACAGAGATCCACCTGCCTCTGCCTCCCAAGTGCTGGGATTAAAGGAGTGTGCCACCACCGCCTGGCTCACACGTAAGCTTTTTAAATGTTATGTGGAAAATGCTTTCTCAAACTTAAAGCTGTACCTATAATCAGGACAGAATCACTGAATTAAACAGTTAAACGTGCACTTGGTTTAAAATTATCCATTTGATTCTCTTTTCCTTCTCCCCAAATTTAACTGCCATATAAGAGGTGTTTAATTATCTCCCACACTATGTGAAAGACCTTTAAGGAGACCCAGTGTGCTCAAAATTAAATGATTTAGCAAAAATTCTCATTATATAAATGATGGAACTGCCTTAAATTGCTAGTGCTTGGCTCAGGCACCCCGAGAATGAGGCATGGGGGAAAGGGAACTTGGTCCTCAGCTCCGTGCCTGTCCCCTCTCTCCTCCTCTTCCCCCACTGAACTTCAAAGGAATCTCAGAATTTGAAGAAAAAAAAGTGTAGCCAATTAATTTCCGATCTCTGAGCTAGGAGGATGGCAGACTGGGTAGATTCACCTTCTACAGCTTCAGACCAGGTGACGGGCAGACTGGGTAGAGTCACTTTCTACCGCTTCAGACGAGTGACGGGCAGACTGGGTAGCTTCACCTTCTACAGCTTCAGACCTGGTGACAGGCTTCCCCTACCCATTCCCAAGTTAGAAAAATGACTTGTCATCTACTCGGGTTAAAAAGGAAGAACCACCTCCTTCTGTGGAAAAGAGGATGCTCATGTCTCCTAATGGGATGAGCATGTGTTCTTTCCTGTGAAATTCTGACGGCCGTACGCGGGGCAGGAGGAAAAATGTGTGGCATTTCGAATCCCAAGATTTACACCCCGGCTGCCAAGTACACAGAGTGGGCTCCTAGAATAAGAAGTGGGAAGGAATTATGAGTCAGTGAGCTAGAGGCAAGAGCGTGGCTAAATCTCTCCTCTCCACCAACCACATCAGAGGTGTGACATTTCATTTCCCCTTTAAAATTCCTTCCACAGTCCACTGTCAGAAAGGGGGGGGGGGACACATAAACCTTACAGCTTTGCTCATAGTAACTAAAATCAAAAGTGGCCAACTGCAGTCTCTAGAAAAAAAGAGACTAATTCTTTGATGGTTGTCAGTGTCATAAGTGAGAAAGTAAGCTATGGTCTTGATTTGCTTTAATGCCTTTGAACTCTTAAGAACACTGGGAAACAGCTCTGTTATCAATCACAAAGTTGATCACTTGGATTTTGTCACTTGGACAAATATATTTACAAGGCTTAATAACAATGAAAATCCTGAGAAATATTAATAAACAGAGAAAAGTATAACAAACAACCATCCTGAGCACTGAGGTTACTGGGTTTGACAGCAAAGAAGAAAGGAGACACAAAGCAAAGAGACGCTGCTCCCAGCCTCCCAAGCCATAATGTATCAGACCTGCTCTATGTTTCCTTTTCTGTGACTCTATTTTATGTGTGTGTGTGTGCAATACATGTGTCCACGCTTGTAACATGTATGTGCATAGTGCACAATCTATGTGTAACATTTATGTGTGTGGTGTGTGGTGCACGCATGTAACATGTGTGACTCATGCACACATGTGTAAAGTGTGTTAGATACATGTGTGTAACGTGTGTGACCTGTGAATATATGTGTAACATACGTGATGTATTTGTATACCTGTTGGCCATGGGCAAAAGGCCAAAGAGCAACATCAAGCATCTTTGCACCCTAGTTTTTGAGATGAAATCTCTCATTGAGTCTGAGTCACCAGCTGACTGGACTGAACGGCCAGTGAACCCCAAGTATCTTTATGTCTTTGCCCTTCTCCATCAGAACTACAGTTAGACATGTGCTATCCCGGCTTCTCTGTGGTTGCCTGGAATCCAGACTCAGGTTTCTGTGTTGTTATAGGCACGGCACTTTACTGACCGAGCCACCTCCTAGCTCCACATGACTCTTCCTACCACTGCCTTTTCCTGCTTTGAAATGATCAGCAGGTGGTTTGAGTTACGTGAAGATGCGTGCTTGAAGGGAGTGTGCTCGTGTAAACACATTGGCCTGACTGTTCTTTATCTTACACTCATTTGCCCAGTATAGATACCCTACAATGGATGAGTGTATTAAAACGACTCAGTGCTATGCTGCTTTAAAACACCACAGAAGGAACTCTGTGATCAAAGGGTTGGCCCTTTGCAGCCTTACCTGGAATAATTTATAGAAGGAAAGATAAAGAACTGAAATTACATGAATCGTTTTTAAAAAAATTAGATTGAACCCTGTGCATTTGCTGATCCGTAACCATTATCTAAATGGCAGTTCTGTTGTTCTAACATCTACTGCTCTTTCTTCTTTGTAATGTTCTTCCTACGTGGAAAAAAAATTCAACCGAATTGATTACATGCTCTGCAACCCTAAATGTAGCTGTGCACAGAGAGATAGCCACTGGCTGAAGTTGCTTTGTTGAAAAGATGAGTAGATTGGGGGAAATTACATTGCTAATGAGCAATAGAATTCACAGCTACAGCCTAACACTTGGGCACTTTCTGCTCTGCTCTGCCCCCATCCCCATTTACACAGTCCTAACTTGGGCAGAAGAGAAAGTTCATAACTTATAGAGAATTCACAATAGCATCTATATTTTACCAGTTACTAAACCTCATTATTTTTTTTCCAACATAAATCTTATCAATGTATTGCCCTATTGAAGATAACTGCAGTTTCTTATACCATCTAATCATTCTATAATCAATTAGTGATAGTACTCCTGGTTCAAGTCTGTATTTCTTTTCTCTCCTTCCTCTCTCCCTCTCTCCCTTCCTTCCTTCCTTCCTTCAATTCGTTCCTTCCTTCCTCCCTCCCTCCCTCCCTCCCTCCCTTCCTTTCTTCCTTCCTTCCTGTCTTTATTCCTTCCTAGATAGGGTCTCATTTTTGTCTCCCTTGGCTACTCTGGAACTCTCTATATAGACTAGGCTAGCCTCAAACTCCTGGTTCAAGCTACATCTCTAAGAGACCAAAGTAAGATAATTAATGTAACAATAATATACACCAAGTATTTCTCTCCTTTTTGCTAATTTTCTGATTTAGTTACTTATTTATGTATGAGTGGTTTACCTCCATGTATGTATGTGTAACCATATGCGGGCCTGATGCCTGTGAAAGTCAGAGGAGGGCATTGGATCCCCTGGGACTAGAGTTGCATATGGTCATGAGCCACTGTTTGAGAACTGAAGCCAGGTCCTCTACAAGAAAAACAAATGCTCTTAACCACTGAGTATCTCTCCAGCCCTTGTGCTAATCTTTAAAACTGTGATTGAATTCATATGGAAATTTGAAGAGTAGTTATCAACCACTATATCTACCAGCAAACACTCGGGCTCTTTGCAGGTGTAATTAGGGTTATGTCTAATGCTTCATGTTGCTGTTAAAATTTGTTCTGCACCAGACCTGTTACTGTCCTGCTCTGTAACGACTAACCGCTTGACCCTACGGCCCATTCATTAGTGTCTTTTGAGTTGTTTGTGTTAGATGCTTCTCAGCCATTGCTCTGACAGAACACCTGAACGATGAAAGACGTGTTTGGTTTCAGAGGCTCTTGCCCAAGGTCCCTTAGCTTCTGGCACATTCTAAGACAAAGCATCATGATGGGGGGCACACAGTAGAGTAGGGTGGCTCAAGGAATGTCCGACAGGAAGCTGAAAGAGATGAAAAGAAGAAGTAAGGTATAAAATGTCAAAAACACTCACCTCTGACAGTGGCTGGCTTCTTCCAACCAACCCCCACCTTTTAGCCTCCACCAGTCCCCAATAAACCAAATTCCCAACATTCCTCCAGCGTTTGGGGAATACTTCATTGTTGTACAGAGGACGTTAATTTGTTTCCCTGCTGCCGGGCAGCTTGGATCCAAAATAATCACACAGAGACTATATTAATTAAATCACTGCTTGGCCTATTAGCTCTAACTTCTTATCAGCTAGCTCTTACATTTTAATTTAACCCATTTCTAGTAATCTGTGTATCACCACATGGCTGTGGCTTACCAGGTAAAGTTCTGTCTGGCTCAGGCGGGGCTGTATGGCTTCTCTCTCACTCTGCCTCCTTCATCTCAGCATTCAGTTTAGTTTTCCCCACCTACCTCTATTCCCTGCGCAGGCCC